AAGATCCAGAAAGGGGTTATGCAAAAAGACAAAGTCAAAAATCCAGAAATAGGCTACGATGCACGCTAAACTAAAGCCTGGGCTTAAATAGTATCTATACCAAACAATCATTACATGGAACAGGTCCATAGAGGAAGCAGGGTCAGAGGGATGTGTGACAATACTGTAGAGAATTATCATATACAATATTTATTTCTGTGCAGTAACATAAATGAAATGTAGATATTTTACTGCAGTCATCCAGCATCACCCAAACATTTTTTTCTGTAGCACAATAAACACTCAAATATTTATTTGAAATATCAAATCTAAACATCTGTCTGGTGCTGATCCATTTTTTTATTTGAATCCAATATGATTGTATATGTTTGTCGGTAGAGGAGATGTTTTAGTTTAGTAGGTGTTAGCGTTACTGTTACTGTTGTGCATACAGGACAGAAAATACTTCCTTTACATTTTTATCACATTTTTCACATCAAAATAAACAGGGAAAAGTCCGACTTGCAGTTGTAACAGAATGTAAATTGAATGTTAATGTAATTGTTTTGCTCACTTTATCATTAATTCTGTAACTACATTTGAATAGTACAGTAAAACAGAAGTAATAACTCTTGATTCCTGAAGGATAACTCATCAGGGCCGTTGTGCCTACACTCATATCAGTGTCACTGCGGTGCTGAGAGTGGTCAACAGAGACCCTGTGGTCAACTCAGTGAAGAATTTACCTCTATACAGTAAAGTTGGCGGGTTGATGTAGGTCATAAAGTGGTCAGTGAGTGGAAGTACAAGGTTTGTGTTTTTAATAATGTGTAAAGCAAATGTATAACACATTTTTTGGAGCTGGCTTTCAGTGTTTATGTTATGTTAGCTAACCCCATTTTACAGAAGCTATATAAAATATATATAGCATATATAAATTACAGAAGTTATAAAATGCTGTTTCTGCTTTTTTGGAGGACCCTCAGTGGTTGCATTACTCATTTCTCACTTTTAATAACATAACACTGATGGAATATATTTTGATGGAAATTTCTATGATTAACAAAACTGGGAGCAAACTGGACGTCTTCACAGGTGAGCGAGCAAGTCATCATTTAAGTCTTCTTATTGTGTAGTAATAATAATAAGAAGAAGAAAAAGAAGAAGACGTCTTTGTTTACATAGCACTTTTCATACATTAAATGCAGCTCAAAGTGCTTTACAGTAAAAGCAACAGAGAAAGATAATTAAAAACACAGAGAACGTAAAGATTAAGTAAAAGGATAATCAAGAATATAACAATTAATAAAAAAGTCCAACAAATAAAAGTAACAATAGAAAAAAGGCAAAAAACATATAAATACAAACTGAAGCGTTTTAAACAAGAAATCAAAAATGGTGTAGTGCTATTATTATTATTATTGTGTCAGTTCTACGGGATTGTTTGACGTAAATAAAGCTGCACTTTGTGGAGAAGAATGGTTTCCGCAGCAGGAGGTTCTCGCCCCTCCTCTTTCACACCTAATTGCTCACTAGCTGCTCAACACGTGTTAATTAAAAATGTCCTAGTCGATTTCCATTTGGCGAAATGGCCACTAGGGGGCCTGCAGAAAGAGTCCATGGATAAGGCTACAGGTAAGGACCTGCTTTGGAGTGAGGCTGACTCTCTCTGTCCTCTCGGGACCTGAACTGTATGAGGTGAAGGGGGATGAGTTCTCGCTCTGAATGATGATGATTCAGATTCTCTTCTACTCATGGAGAGAAAACAAGGCGGGTAGTTATTTTTCCCTCCAGAGATGTTAAACCAAGCTGGGCTGCTTTAAGCCTGTCGTTAGCGAATGGAGGATGGGGTGAAGTTTCAGGCTCCTTGCATCATTAAAGCAAGGCTTCAAATCCAGCATCAGAGAATGACTGTATGTGTCAGTGGACATGTTGAGTTTTCCCAGCGGTGCTTCGTTCTGCCTGTACAGTCAATCTAACACCTCTTTCAGGGCTCTGATGCTCAGAATGTTAAGACCAGTTAATCCAGGAGGAGCAAACCGGTCCTAGAGTGCCTGAGCGGTACACGGTGTCTACACTAATTCAGCTCATGAAGGCTGGAGAAAGAGTTGGATTCCTAGATGGTTCACTCAGTGCTGATGTAATTACCCTAACATTAAAGCAGAGTCTGTGCTTTTTAGCCTCATAGTTATTGTTTTATTTTCTCAAAATCCAATACAGAGCCTGGAAAATGAGGAATTTTATCTTTTCATGAAGTCATTTTGTGACAGTCTCAGAGTGCGTAAGTTGAAGCTTAATCTTTGGCAATTAAAAGAACATAACAGCGCAATTCAGTAAAAGCTGTGGTCGTAGTGTGATGTCATCTTTAATTTGGCCACAAAGCTGTAATTAAACTAGCAAGAAAGGACACAATTGTGTTTGTGGCCATTTAGCTTATTGACTTTTTTTCCCAAAGTCATTGAGTTTGAGGCTGTTTGAAACTCTTTTGCTCCTTTGTACAGAGCTGAGACATGATTTTACTCAAATGATTTCCCCAGACCTGCACTGTCTGATATCTGAAGCTGTTTTGTCTGATATCTGAGGCTGTTGGTGTGAAGATACATAAAATGTGCATAATATAGAGTTTTGTACAGTTAAGCTGTTAATACAGGCATGAGTGTTTTTAACCAGCGCTGTCAGATTTCTAGAACAATCTGATACATGCTGAACAAGTACTGTAGCGTTTACCGCTTTTAAAACAGGCACAGCTGGTGCACAAGTTGTTGTGCTTTATTAAAGGGCTGTAGTTGGCCACAGCCACGCCGTACACAAAGAGATGTTTGTCTAACAGTTCTTAGATTGTCTCGACTTGACTACTGTACTGCTTTGTTCATAGGACGTCCTATGAGTACAACAAACAAAGTACAATTGCAAAATGCAGCCGCAAGACTATTAACACAGACTAGAAAACAAGACCATATTAGAGCAGCTTTAGCTTCTCCACTCCACTGGCTGCCTGTGTCCTTTAGAATCCACTATAAATTTTTACTGCTTTTTACTAGTTTAAGTAACTAGTACTAGTCTACTAGACTAGTACTAGTACTAGTCTAGTAAGAAAGGACACAGTTGTGTTTGTGGTCACTTAGCTTATTACCTTTTTCTCCAAAGTCATGTACTTTGAGGCTGTTTGAAACTCTTTTGCTCTTTTGAGACATGATTTTAATGTTTTTCCCCAGACCTGAAGCTGTTTTGTCTGATATCTGAAACCTGACTGTGGTGTGAAAAAGGCTTTTTGTACAGGCATGCTGTTCGTACTGCAGAGTGTTTTCAACCAGCGCTGTAATGTTTCTAGAACAATCTGAAATATGAACCATGTACAATAAATATTGTAGCATTTACCACTATTAAAACAGGCACAGCTGGTGCACATTTTGTCGTGCTTTATTAAAGGGCTGTATTTGGCCACAGCTACGCTGTACACAGAGAGAGTTCAGCTACGTTTTGCTTCTCCTGTTGTCAGCCTTTGTGTTTTCTCGACTTGAGTGCTGTAATGCTTTGTTCGTAGGACAGCAAGAATATTAATGCGGACTAGAAAACAAGACCATATTAGACCAGTTCTATCTTCGCTCCACTGGCTGCCTGTTTCCTTTAGAATTGACTATAAAATTTTACTACTAGTGTTTAAATGTCTTAATGGTTTAGCGCTTTCCTACATTGCTGAGTGCTGATAGATGATGTTCCAAGTCGAGCTTTAAGATCATCTAGTTCTACTTCTCTATATTCCACATATGAAGCTTTAAAAGAGCAGAGATAACCTTCTGTTTTTATGCACCAAAGATCTGGAACATGTTACCAATAAACATCCGTCAGGCTCCTTCTGTCAATGTTTTCAAGAAACAGTTAAAAACATATTTCTTTACTTCAGCATTTAACTAGTTTTTTTTAATAGTTTCCCTTGTTTTTACTAGAATATTCCTTTTACTTTCTTATTAGTTGTGTTTTTATTGTAGTTTTATAGGTTTATATTTTTATCTTGTGCATTTTAATTTTAAGTTTAATTATTATTTATATACCCCCTTTTCTGCTATTGCTTTTATTTGTTGCATTTTTATATTTTTTCTCTTCATCCTCTGCTGTTTTTACATTGTAAAGCACTATGAGCTGCAATTTTAAAATATGAAACTATATAAATAAAAATTATTGTTATGATTAGCTACCTGTAGAATACCCTAAGTCATCAAAACACTCACAGAATCTCAACTGAAACATCATCATTGCATTGTAAATGGATAGAAGGCTGATTTGCATATTGCATTGTGATAACAATGCAAACAACAAATAGCAAACAACAAACGGTAAATTGTGCAGGTTTGATCTCAGTTCATCAGATTTTTTAGGGTTTTTTAGGGAAGCTTTCCACATAAACTTTATTTTTGGGGGGGATTTTTCACCTGTATTTAGTTGGAGTTTTTGGGGGGATTTTTCAGCCATGCTACCTCACGTTACATCCATGTGCTAGCGACAGACCTGTTGTCTGTCCTCGCACCATCGCCTCCTACTGTTGGATTGGATTAGTAACCCACCCACATTTAGCCCAAAATTCTTCTTGGTTGTCCCCAGATGTTTTCATTATAAGATCACATCTGGCTCCAATGTCACTGGACAGCTTAACACGCTTGGAGGACGAAGCTAACTGCTTATTTTGTTATGTCTGCAAACAGACGCCTATATTTCCTAGCAACACTCTAAGAGATGGGGGGGCCAGGAGGACCATCCTACCCACCCAGAGAGACCAAATCACACTGTCGTGGGCTCTCAGCCACAGATGGCTGTGGCATGAATGCGGATTCATGATTTCCTGAAGATATGGCCAGTGCTTAGACGGGTGCACCACCCAGGAGCCGTTCTATTTTAACCTTAAATTACTGTGACCTTCAGAGAAGCTTCCGAACGACTGCTGTTTTGTTTCTCAGTGCTGAAACTGTGCCATGCTCACAAAAGAGGGTGACATTTGCTTTGTCTGTTCCCGTTTCCTTCCACAGATGGACCATCATGGAGGATGGCACCCTCCGGATCACCAACGCGAGCGAATCCGATGCCGGCAGGTACACTTGTGTGGCCCGCAACCCTTTCGGGACAGCTAGCAGCACGGGAACGCTGGTGGTCAAAGGTACGTTTTTCCAAACCAAAAAAAATCCCCCCTTTTCAAAGCGGACACCTTAAACCTGGACAAGGAGAAGCAGAGAAAAATATGACTAACCCAAGCATGAAATTGATAATGAAATATATAGTTGTTTTATGTTCCTGCCGGGTTTGACAGAGGAATAACTCATCCGGGGTTTTGTCAGCGGTGAGTTATTGGTCAAAGCGGCGGTGTGAGGAAAGCCTCTGCCATCTGTAGTATTGGGGGCAGATTTTTCTTCTCCTCTCATTCCTCAGTCCTGTGCATGCTTAATTTAAAAAAAAAACGCTGCTGCTGCACTTTTTTCTTCTGTTTTGCGTCCATAATAACTGAGGGTTTGATGGTTTTTACATATGCATGTTACTTCTTCTTCTTTCTTGTCGGATATGGAGTTGCTCAGAGCTGAATTATTCAGGTCGGGAGGCTGTATCAATAAAACATTACATCTCACAACATTAGTTTGGTTTCAGTTGGACATGGTGTCTGCATGCAGCTGTTTGAGGTCAGTTAATCAGAAAGAGTGTCTGTGGTGGTGACGTAAAGCTCTGTGCTGCAAGATTAAACTGAGACTGATGTCATTTTAAAGAAATACACTACACTATCTGAGTGCTGCTTATGTTTTTTATCGGGCCTTAACCCCTTACAGGGTCTGTATGTGCATATACAGGGTCTATGTATACGCTGAAGTGATTTTGTTTTGAGATCAAAAGATGAATATGAGATGATAGATCAAAGTTTCAGCTTTATTTCCTGATATTTACATCAACAACTTGAACCCACCCATTTTGGGTGTTTATTGCTGCCCAGGTGTGCCCTGTTAGATTGATCATGTAAGTAATAGCTCTGAATGTTAGTTTGAGCCCTGGGTTTTACCTGTAAAGGCTGCTGCTGTTAAAAAAAAAGATAACTAACATGAAGACCGGAGAGCTATCAATGAGAAAAAAGCAAGCCACTTTGAAGCTGAGAAAAGTGATCAAAGCTGTTGCACAAGCACTGAACATAGCCTGTCCAACAATTTGGAATATCCTGAAAAAAGACAAAAACTACCAGTACACAAACATCCAGACATTGAACAAGTCGGCCAAGGAAAAACTACAGTAGTTGATGAGAGAAATATGAGTGAGAGGTAAGAATAAAAACCTCAAAACAACAGTCAGTGACATCATCAACACCCTCCACAGGGCAGTATCACAATCCACCGTTTGACTTTAACAGCACAAATATAGAGACTATAAAGGTACAACCAACTCCTTAGCAGTGATAATTGGAAGGCTAAGTTGGAATTCAGAAATAAATACAGAGAATGAGCCACAAAACTGAAAACCAAAGTGATGGAAAGGCCCAACTGTGGAGAAAGAAGGGATCAGCTCATGACCCAAAACAGACAAGCTCATCAGTGAAGCATGGTGGAGGTAGTGTCGTGGCTTGGGCTTGCACTGTTGCTTCTGGATGATGTAGCTTATGATGGTAGCAGTGAAATTAGTTCAGACGTCTACAGAAACATTCTGTCTGCCAGTTTACAGAGAAATAAATTCAATCAAGTCAAGAGGAACTTCATCATGCAGCAAGATAATGACACAAAAAAAAATTATCGCCACCCTGAGAGGGGAACATCAAAGAGTTACCACCTGTCACTGGACGAATGGCAGCTATAACTTCATTATACTTTGTAGTATGGCAAATATATATATATATATATATATATATATATATATATATATATATATATATATATATATATATATATATATTTTAAAGAAGACACAGAGTGTAAAAAGTGTAAAATACAAATCCTTAAGAAAAAAGAATATTTAAAAATAAGTTGAAAGTTTAGGCAAAAAGTGCCTGAGTGTCAATGCACTTTCTCTCCAAAGGGGTAAAAACAGAAATGAGGAGTTTCACTGAAAATAGTACAATTTTTCAAAATAAAAAATGAGGACTTTTAGTAAAATGATACAGTAGTCCATATTAATGTCATGTAAAACATATACTTCATGAATGTTGATGTAAACATTAATGAGCATGTTACGGAGTGTTTATGTATGATGGTATGAATGTATGATGTAGACACCCTTTAAGAAAAGTGTTACCAAAATAACTTCAAATCAAAAAGAGAATGAACTTTTCCTTTATTTCACTATTCTTCTGTTTTCAACAGAGCCGACCAAGATTACGGTTCCTCCATTAAGTATGGATGCCACGGTGGGCGAAAGCATCGTCCTGCCGTGCGAGGTCTCCAGGGACTCCAGCGTGGACCCCACCTTCAAGTGGTTCTTCAACGGGAAGCTCGTCGACTTCAGCAGACACGATCACTTCGAGATGATTGGAGGGGTACGTGTCTGGAGAAGCGGTGTTGGAGTGTTGGAGAAGCACCGTACCGTAACACTTTTACATGCTACTCCCATTTCTTTTCTGAAACGCTTGCGTGCGGCGCCAAAACCCTGAGCCCTCTTGATGCTCTTTTTTAGCTTCTGTTTTTTTGGCGGTCGGGGATGTGGAGAACAAGTGCACCTGGCTGTTCGGAGAGTGGCAGAGCGCAAATCTTTCTGATTACAAGATTTGCTTCATGCAGAGAAGCTTGAAAAACCTCAGCATGCAGGAGGGGCTACACTTCCACTGTCTGGCTCATTCATGGAGCTTTTTCTCATTCCACCAGTAATTCTCTAGAGAGTGCAGAGTGGCTCCACACCAGATGGGTCTGGCCTATTCTCGTCTAGCTGAGGAGGCTAGACCATCCCTCGTCTAGCCTAGTCTAGCTGAGGAGGATGAGCCCTTCCCTCGGTTGCAGGGCTGAAAGCAAAAAGCCGACCAGCCTAGGTACTGACAATAAGAATCAAAAGTTTAGACACACCTACTAATATAACGGTTTCATTATACAATGTGCACATCAAATCTACAAAAAAACACATATGGAATTTTTTTTAGAGATCAAAATAAGTGCTAAATAAATCAAAACTATCTTCTATTTTAGATTCCTCAAAGAGGCTATAGTATATACACCGATCAGGCATAACATTCTGACCACCTCCTTGTTTCTACGCTCATTGTCCATTTTATCAGCTCCACTTACTATATAGGTGCACTTTGTAGTTCTACAGTTACAGACTGTAGTCCATCTGTTTCTCTGATACTTTGTTAGCCCCCTTTTACCCTGTTCTTCAGTGGTCAGGACCCCCATGGACCCTCACAGAGCAGGTACTATGTGGGTGGTGGATCATTCTCAGCACTGCAGTAACACTGACATGGTGGTGGTGTGTTAGTGTGTGTTATGCTGGTCTGAGTGGATCAGACACAGCAGTGCTGCTGGAGTTCTTAAACACCTCAGTGTCGCTGCTGGACTGAGAATAGTCCACCAAACAAAAATATCCAGCCAACAGCGTCCTGTGGGCAGCGTCCTGTGACCACTGATGAAGGACTAGAGGATGACCAACACAAACTGTGCAGCAGCAGATGAGCTATCATCTCTGACTTTACATCTACAAAGTGGACTGACAAGGTAGGAGTGTCTAATAGAGTGGACAGTGAGCGGACACAGTGTTTAAAAACTCCAGCAGCACTGCTGTGTCTGATCCACTCGTACCAGCACAACACACACTAACACACCACCACCACGTCAGTGTTACTGCAGTGCTGAGAGTGACCCACCAGCCAAATAGTACCTGCTCTGTGAGGGTCCATGGGGGTCCTGACCACTGAAGAACAGGGTAAAAGGGGGCTAACAAAGTATGCATATCTTGTGAGCTAGTCTGAAGAACAAAGTTTGGTTCCAGATTTCTCCTGGACACCTCCCGCCATTACATGGATTTGTTTAATTCCATCACCTGCACACTTGATTTAACATAATGAAGTACTGATTAGACAAAGCAGGTTTTGAATGAAAACTACAAATAATACTGAGCTTCCTCCAGGAGAGGTTTGGAAGTAGTTAAATGACACATTGACATAAAATCACTGCTTTTGTAGTTATTGTAGTATTTATACATTTATAGTTATGTGTGTATTTATTCTAATATTAGTGTTTTTCTGAACAAATAAACACTTACTGACCAGACAAATACAGGCCAATTACATACTCCTCGGCTGAAGACATTCAAACTCAGCTTTTCACAACTTCACTCATTGCATGTTACCATATGTTTCTTTTGCCAAGTCAATTAGGGCCTCTACTTTGTTCACAGCAGAGATAATTTTTAAAACAACCGAGTAAAGACAGACTTATTTCAGCTTCAGATTTCCAGTCAGTCTGGAGTTTTCATACCCTGTAAAAAATCAGTTCAACCTAAAAAATTACTTCATGTGGTAACAAGCAGTTCAATTAGTTTTGTTCAACTCAAAGAATTACGTTGAATAAAAGAATTGAACTAACAATTGAGTCTTTAAACAGTTCAAAAATTCCCCAAATTGATGTCGTATCTTTTAGAAGCTTCTGATTGGCCAGTAGTCATAATTAAAGGTTAATTGAGAGTGCAGCTTTACACTGTAAAACATGTCTCAACAATTCAACCTAAAAAACTACTTCATGTGGAAGTAAATTCACTAGTTTTATTCAACATAAATGTGTACTTTGAATGAATGATTCTTTTATTCAAAGTATTTCTTTGAGTTAAATAAAACTAGTTCGGCTACTTGATACTAAATTAAGTAATTTTTTCTAGATTGAACTGACGAGCCATTTTTTACAGTATATTTAGAGGCCGTTTTTAGGGGGCCTAGTTTTAGAGCCAGTGCCCTTGAATCCTTAGGAATATAATAGTGGCTGTCCGTGAGTCTGGTTCCTCCTTAGGCGCAGTTTCCAAACGACTGAAGGTACCATAAGCATCTGTATGCAAAGCAGCGATTTATGTAAACTTTTGGCTTCAACTGTAGATTTTTTAAACCTGATTTTCTCAGGTGCTTAAAACTTTTGCTCATTTCTGTGTAAATACTTCACTGTTTATTTTTGTCTCTGTGTCAAATGTAAAACACTGTAGCAGAAGATCGGAATGTCTCTAAGGCTATGAAAAACGTACCAGCAAAACTCTTCGGATACATTTTTGTTTCAATGACGTTTTATAGCATTTTTTCTAATGACAGTTTTTTACCGCATCATTGCGTAACAATCATCATTATGCGTCATTATCATTCTGAACTCTGGCTCTGCTGTATAAGGTGGTTACGTAGGGAAAGCTTTTGGGGAGCGCAGTGCTGGTCTTCAGAGCTGATCAAAGTGGAGATTAGGTGACAGCAGCGGCCCTGCAAACGCTCCCTCGTCGTCTGTTGTAACGCATTCGTTTCACTTTGTGAAAGTTACATTAACCTCGGCGAGACCTTATTCCGCTCCTGTTTTTATCACCAGGGATCATCCGGTGACCTCATGGTCCGCAACATTCAGCTGAAGCACTCGGGGAAGTACGTGTGTATGGTGCACACGGCGGTGGACAGCGTCTCGGCCGCGGCCGACCTGATCGTCAGAGGTACGGGCCGCTCCTCCAGTAGTTAGTTAGTATTCCAGCAGTCCTTTGAGCGTTTATTAAATGATAAATTAAAAAGGTCCCCCACCCTTCTTTGCATCATTGTGCTATTTCTGTTTTATCTGACAATTCGGCCTGTGAAATAATGACTCGCGGAGCGTCTGGAATCGATGCATTAATTCCCGGCTCCGTGCTCCTCGGACCTTTTGTGTTTCCATCACCACATGAAGGGTCCCGGCGTTCGGCCTGTGAATAATAAAGCCTCTGTGCCTTTTGAGGCTGGCCTCGTCTCACTTTGCAGGAGACTTTTAGTAACCTTGCCGTGCCCTTCTCCGGGTGATGAGACGCAGTGGGGTTTTTTTTCTTCTTCTTTGTTTTGTTTTTTTAAGTTAGTGTCCTCCTGGTCTCTTTCTGGCGCTGGTGTTGACAGGGCCCCCTGGTGCCCCGGAGGGGGTGCTGGTGGGGGAAGTCACGGACAGGACGGCTCAGATCTCGTGGGGCCCCGGCTCTGACAACCACAGCCCTGTTACCCTCTACATAGTGCAAGCCCGCACTGCTTTCTCCGTCGGCTGGCAGGCTGTCAGAACAGGTACGGCGCTCTCATATAAACGCAGTCACATATGCATTCACTGTCCACTTTATTAGGAACGTCTACCTTCTACTCACAGGCTGCTTGCTTACTTTATAGCCCACTTTATAGAATATACTCTTCTCTGTGATTTACTGTATTCCGTACTGTTGTTCAAAATTTTGGAATCACTGTTTACAATATTATAAAATCAGTTTGTTCACTGAAAAAATGGTGTCTTGTCTTGATCTTAAATCGTCAATAAATCTAACATTTCTTCTGTTAAGATTGTTGTAAGCGTAATGTAAAATTATGTAACTTATTTCCAAACATTTTACCTGTGTTAAGTAATGTTATTGAGTAAAAGTATCTCACTATAGTGGCAGATAATGGTGAGATAAAATCTATAAATAATCTAGATCATAAGATCATAAGTCCACAACCATCTCATAATAAGAAATATTAGACACGTCCACTAGATTTAAAATCATTTTTACTTGACCAAATACCATGTTTTGCAGTGTTAAAGATACGTGCGTGTAAAGACGATATATCACTTTTTGACCTCGCCATAGTAGTGCAGGCCGAAGCCCAGCTGCAGAGCTCTGTACGTTGCTGTGATAGAATCCAAGATTGCAGCGCTCTCTTTAAAATACAGCTTTAAAAATGGCCTTTAAAGCAAAACCTTCAGCACCTTCAGCAGACTGCACTGGACAGTCCTCATGCAGAACTGTGGATAAATCAGCTAACAAAAGCAGCAAAGTGGAGTTTCATTTCCTCTCAAGAACCTCCTCTGTAACAAGAACCCACCAGCTGTATGAACGAGAACGGAGGAGCTGAACTATTGGCTGTATATACATTGCATTTCGTCGCTGTCCAAAAAAAACATGTATCTCCATTTTTGGCGGTTTTTATTTTTCTACATCATTTCAACACAACAGTCGTCCTTTACATTGCGTGAAAACTTCTTAAATCTCTTTACATTGACTTACATTGAAAGATAAGAATGTTATTTGCCTTCTCCTGTGAACTTACTGTTTTCTTTGGACAGCGATGATATACACTTTCATTTTTTGGAACGTGCAGCCGCTGTTGCTCTCACTGGACGTCTGAATTCACTCTGTGGAAATCACACAATATTCATAGTATTATTGAATTGCTGGCGGTAATGAATACATTCTGAAGAAGCTTATTGTGCCCACTTATACAGCAAAATGACATACATAAATACTGCAATGCTCACATTTGAGCACATAAGACAAACTACTTAATATTAAGTACATAGAATAATAGTTATATAAATAAAACTAATCGTAATTAATTGTTTTAATCACAGTCCTTTTCCGATTATGATTCTTCCACTATTTATTCTTAACTATTTATTAAGAAGCTGTCGAAAATGAACTGTCCAGAATGACAGTCAGAGCTGTAGATGATTCTCTAATGACTGAGAACGCTTTAGAACGTTGAGACTGAAGTTACAAAACATTTCACTCTAGAATGCCTTATATTTGAAATGTGGTGATCAGATCTGGGGACAGCATATTATTGATATACTGACAACTAGTGTGTAATATTTCAATCACTGTTTACGTTATTACTGAATAAAATAACAGAAGTGTTTCCAAACTTTCGAACAGTGGTTAATGTGAACAACAGACTATAGTTCATCTCTTGCTGCAAAATGTGTCTCTAACTCAGTCATCATTGGTCAGTTACTGGACATTTTTCCTCTGCACAAAGTACCGAAAGCCTGAAATATTGAACTGTGCTTTTTGCATCGGTCGTCAGTCCAGCACTAAAGGTCCTGTTTTTATGGTTTTTGGCACATGTTCAAGATTGCTAATAACAGAACCTAATGAATGATGAGAAGGATGTTCTCTTTTGTCTTCGGTAACACTTTGTTTTGCTGGATCACAGGTTATTACTCTGTAAGGAGTTCGCTAAGGAGACATAAGCTATGCCTTAAAATTGTGGATCTTCAAGGGCTCTTCAGTAAAGAAGATGGTTCTAGAACCATGAGCATTCAAACAACCCTTTCCATGATTAAAGGGTTCTGTGCATCATAAAAGTGCTCTTCAGATTGATGGAGAATGTGCTGCAGATGGTTCATATATCATATATAGAACCTTTTTGAAAAAGTGCCAAAAAGTAGAAGTAGAAGAACCCATTTCGATGCCATATAGAACCTTTTTCGGAAAAGTTCTATATAGAGCCATCTACAGCACATTCCCCATCAATCTGAAGAACCTTTTGACCATGCGAAGAAATGTTTAATCATGCAAAGGGTTCTTTGAGTCCTCATAGTTCTATATAGAACCATTTTCTTTACTAAGGATATATATATCCTGCTTACTAGTTATATTAGTTGAACACTATATATATATATATATATAGTGTTCAACTAATATAACTAGTAAGCAGGATAGCTAATTAGGTAAATGAGATTGTTAACTGTGGTTATTATAGTGGTTCCAGGTGAAAAATGAACTAGAACTAGAACCGTGAGCTTCGTTGGTCTCTGTTTTTGAATGTGCAGTGGAAAAATGCCCTAACTGTACACCAGCAAGCAGGGTGTTTCTAATATAGTGGCCTGTGTGTAGTCTGTGGATGCTGAGTTAATGCTGAAAGCTCAGTTCTACAAACTCTCCTCGAAACAGCTACAGTTCTGCTTATTTATAAGACTGTAGTCAATTAAACAAACACGTAGTAGAAGATTATGTAGGCTTCATCGCTTTGATGGCTTAAGATAATCTCAGCACTGCTATGCATTTGAGAAACTGCTGTCTGACGGAAGCTGAGTGTAATTGAATGTGTCTCTCAGTCTGAACGTGTGTAGATGGGTATTTATGTGTGTTTCCATTCCAAATTTCTTTAATCCTAGTTCCTGATTCTGTGCCTGGACAGATGACGCGCGCCACAGCGGTGGGCCTCAACCCCTGGGTGGAGTATGAGTTTAGGGTGGTGGCGGTCAACGCCGTCGGGGTGGGGGAACCCAGCGCCCCATCCCAGCCCGTTCGCACACGGCCAGCAGGTACGCCTCTCTGCCCAAAGCTCTTTAGCCTCCTCTCGCTGTGGTTAAGATGGATCAGCATTCTGTCGACTATAAATTAATGATGCAATATTTATAGTAATATAAATATTGCATCATAATATAAAGTAATCGTTTGTTTTGTTAGTCCTGATGTTGTGAAGTGACGTCCTCCATCCACCACTCCAAAATCCACCAATATTACTCTTCAGGGCTTTATTTTCTGCAACATTTGGCCACCCAGACAAAGCACACTCAAACTGACCAGGCTGATTTGTGAAAACTTTGACAGTCCTGTTTTTATGTCAGTGGTTCAAAAGATCATCTTGTTGATTTGAGCCCACTTTCATCCCTCTAGATGGTCAGCTTTTGAAGTTATACACTGATGTGTCAGTGCTTGGTTTCCTTTCACTTGGCAACAGGATTCAGCTTATGAATCAATAAAATATGCCAAAATCTGTTTATCATAAATTGAGCTCAGGCAAGTAGATAGTATTTGCACTGGAAGTGTTTTTTCAAATATTTTCAATATGCTTATATTTTACTTTTCCGACAGTCCTGATCGGTTTAATCCTCGTCTCATTTATCAAACGTTTGCAAATTTTTGAGTAATTTCTGAAAATTCTGTAAAAGAAAATGAATCTGTATTTCCATTAACTACGGTTATGCACAAATTCCTGAAGAGGATATTGTGCTGTACAGCGTCTCACTCACCATGCGCGCTGTATACAATGGAAGGATTTGACTCTTTATTAGATGTTGGTAGAGCAGCATTATAGCCGTCTGTCAGATGTACATTGCTGTAGCTCTAACAGTTCAGAGATGCCAGACATTTAATAAGGGCTGAAGTCCCCGTCTCACTTCGCTGTCACCAACCGAACCCCTGTGAACGCCGCCGCAGCAGACCGTTCTGAGAGGCCGTAGTGCCAAACATACGACTTTTGTTCCCTTTACGTCAACACGTATCTGAAAATTCATCTTCTTTTCTACATCGTCCAAGAGTAAAACACTGTTTGTGATACTTTAGCATTTCTCTTTTATAATTCTAGCTTTTACATTCAGGTTTTTAATACACAATTTCAAAATTCACAAAAAGAACTAGGTAGAAAAGCCACCAGCTACATTTCCAGCCAAAGCAGTTTTTGGGGAAAATGTTTTAACAAGTGCAATATGTACAGTAAGGTGTCCTTATGGGCAGATAGACAAAATCAGGTCTTTATAGGTCACAGGGAAGTCAAGAAAGCCAAAGCCACACAAGTTGCTTGCAATTTGCATCAAAGGTTGGTGAAAACAAACGACAAATTAATTCAATTATGTTACATATTTTGTGTATTTTGAAGTGAAAATAAGTTAACACTGTACAGAGAATATTAATTTTTTCTGCAAATATTAGTGCGCAATCTCGATTTATTTGCTGAGTTAAAAATAGAGTATAAAATGTGTCTTTTTCACAGCCACATTTTATGATTTTGTTATAAATATAACCGATATAAACCGTAATTGTGCATTAAAATGTGCAGACGTGTGTTCTCTGTAGAGGATATGTTCACTTATTTACACAGAATATCAACAGGACATGAAATTTGACCAGTAGTGCTCAAACTTGTTCGTACCACTGGTGGATTTCAGAGCTCAGTTCACAAATCAAGGCCGAAATTACAGCATTACTTGTTGTGTAAGTTTGGGTTAATGGCTGAATCCCGAATGGGTAACTGCTCTCTGCACCATGTCTTCTCCTCCTCTGTCCTCCTGTACTGCAACAAACTCGACGCGTCGGGCCTGCGGCAAAAACGCAATTTAACTCCATAATTAGTTTAATTCGCTCGGAGAGCCTCGTCTTGATGGCAGCTTAGCCATGGGAAATCCACGCTCATTGTTTCCCGTCAGTCATCGCGTTGGGCGCACGCACGGCTCCAAATTGCGGAATAATCTCCACACAATTAAGACACAAATCGAGTGCGCGGCGATCTGATTGACACCGGAGGAGATTTAGCTAAATCGGCGGGGAGACGATGTCTGCTTTTTTCCCCATCTGGCTGTGGGTTTTCTCACTTCCCAACACTTTCCTACCTTTTCTCCTCATTAGCCCTCATTGTACGAGTCCTTTTCGGATCATAAGAGTAAAGATGTCACACTGTACCTTCTGATATCGCACATTAGCAAGCAGGAAGTCCTGCTATCATTAATTCATGTCTGCCTCTGCCGCGAATGTGTGAAATACCCACGCTTTCCGTCAGGCAATAGGACTTGAAAGAGTCTATTTTCTGCCGGATTTTGCCGAGCGCATCTGCCTTGATCACAAGGAGTCGCATAGAAGAAAACGCCATGTCAACCTCAGCTTCAGCACTTAAAAGGGAGCAACACAACAAAAAAAATCCAAAGCTTTGTTGCTTTGCAGGTTCAGCTTCAACCCAACTTACTTAAAGGTGCTTTGACGAGACCTTTGTGCCTCAAAGCCTCAGAGGAATCAGGCTGTGTACTCAGTCCTGTTATGTTCTGTTGTTTTTTATTGTTGTCCCAAGCTCCTGAGGTGGCTCCAGCCAACGTGAGTGGAGGTGGAGGAACCCGCGGCGAGCTGGTGATCACGTGGGAGGTGAGCAACCGACTCCGACTCCGACTCAAGCAGATGTTTCTTGATAGGGAGGTGGTTTTATTTTTTCTTCCTCTTCTTCTTCTTCTTCTTTCTCTCCTTAAATCAATCTTCTGACTTGAATTGGATTCGGAGGGAATTCTCCACGGTGACGTGGTTTAAATTAGACAAGTGGTAATTAAAACACAGAGCTGTCGTCTTCGCTTTTTGCTCTGGCGAAATTGCTCCCTGTGGTACGTAAATCATAATGAAGACGCAGATAGAGGAAGGGCTCGAGCATGAGCGAATGCCAAATGACAAAGTTTTTGTCGAGAGCTTCTTTTGCGCCACATGTTCGGACATATTTCCAGAAAAGGCTTCCAAGGAACCCTCATCGCCTTCGCGGAAGCCCTCATGACAGAAATACATACCTGTCATTTTTAGTTCATTTTACAGTCATGCTTGTTGTGTTTCACTGCTGTCAGGAACAAAACCTTGTATTTCCAAATGGTAACTTTACAGGAGAAAGAAGAAACATATTTTACTTTTAATGTAAGTCAATGGAACCAGACTTTTTTCCAAGTAAGTTTCTTTTGGTCCATTCATCATGAAACTTACATACAGTGTAAATGACAACAGGCATTTTCAAAGTATGTCAAAAACTGAAAAATGGAAAAAGCCAGTTTATGTTCAAGTCCAGGGCGGCACAGTGGCGCAATGGGTAGCGCTGTCACCTCACAGCAAGAATGGCCTGGGTTCGATTCCCGGCCGGGTGACCAGGGTCGTTTCTGTGTGGAGTTTGCATGTTCTCCCCGTGTCTGTGTGGGTTTCCTCCAGGTACTCCGGTTTCCTCCCACAGTCCAAAGACATGCAGTCAGGCTGATTGGACATGCTAAAATTGCCCCTAGGTGTGAGTGTGTATGTGTGTATGTCTGTCTGTTTGCCCTGCGAAGGACTGGCGACCTGTCCAGGGTGTATCCTGCCCTCTGCCCAATGACAGCTGGGATAGGCTCCAGCACCCCACTGCGACCCAGAAGGATAAGCGGTTTAGATTATGTATGTATGTGTTCAAGTCCCTGGAGTTATCTAATAATAAGCATTAGTATGCAATAAGTCTGGGATTTTAAGGGGTCAAACTCTGCATTTTAATACTGCTCTTAAGTTTGACTTGAAGGCAAAAAGGTTAAAATCCTGAAATGCCCAACAGAAAATTGTACAATCAGGTTTTCTTTTCTCTGTGGTATCTAGGAAGATACAGCCAAACTGAAGGGCTAACATGCCAGATTAACCGACAACTTAATTAGAAACTGTCATTGGAATTAAACATGTTTTTTATTTACAGTGGAACCAATTTAGTGAGAAAAATGTCACTCTAGAGCAGTGGTCTCCAACCCTGGTCCTGGAGAGCTACCTTTCTGCAGAGTTTAGTTCCAACCTGCATCCAATCTTAACTCTAATACATCTGGTTCAGCCAATCAGGACTTGGGAGGAGGTTGATTAGCTGGAGCAGGTGTGGCAAATGTTGGTTGGAGCTAGGCTTTGCAGGAAGGTAGCTCTCCAGAACCAGACCACTACTATAGGCTTACTAGAAGTTCTAGATACAACATTGAGTGGGAGTATAAATGGTAGCTTGACCAAAGCATTTCAGTCAGATGTTAGAAGTGGAAAAGAGGGGCAGCTCTGTGCTCATCGCTGTTAAACGTATTTAAGGTAACATATAGCACCACTGTCACTTTGCATTGTGTTAAAGGTTCATCTTCAGTGAACCAATAGAAATGGTCCAAAACGATTTGGAAAAAAAAAAGTTCACCTCCTGTGACGTTACCATTTGGAGATGGAAGGTTTGGTAATGTGTCTTCTAATATAACATGAAATGTCTTTTACAGGCTGTAGTTGGCCATATTTAATCCAGAACAGCAAAATGGTCGATGTACCCTGCTGTTATTAGCATTATCATTAGCATTTTTTTCATTTTTTGATATTCAAAGCCTGAACTGAAGGCCCAGCTTAGCATAGTCACAGTTCTCCTCTGGTTTAAATACATGGCTTAGTCGCCAGATTGACGGCATGCTGAACTGTACGGAATACTGATCTGTAAGGAATACTGCAAATGCACAGAACACTGAAGTGTACAGAATACTGAAGTGCATGGAATACTGAAGTATCAGAATACTGAGGTATATGGTATATTGAAGTGCACAGAATACTGAAGTGCACAGAATACTAAAGTGCACAGAATACTGAAGTACACAGAATACTAAAGTGTACGGAATACTGAAGTACACAGAATACTAAAGTGTACGGAATACTGAAGTGCACAGAATACTAAAGTGCACAGAATACTGAAGTGCACAGAATACTAAAGTGCACAGAATACTGAAGTACACAGAATACTAAAGTGTACGGAATACTGAAGTGCACAGAATACTGAAGTGCACAGAATACTAAAGTGTACGGAATACTGAAGTGCACAGAATACTAAAGTGTACGGAATACTGAAGTGCACAGAATACTAAAGTGTACGGAATACTGAAGTGCACAGAATACTGAAGTGCACAGAATACTAAAGTGTACGGAATACTGAAGTGCACAGAATACTGAAGTGCACAGAATACTAAAGTGTACGGAATACTGAAGTGCACAGAATACTGAAGTGCACAGAATACTAAAGTGTACGGAATACTGAAGTGCACAGAATACTAAAGTGTACGGAATACTGAAGTGCACAGAATACTAAAGTGTACGGAATACTGAAGTACACAGAATACTGAAGTACACAGTATACTGAAGTACACAGAATACTGAAGTACACAGAATACTGAAGTACACAGTATACTGAAGTACACAGAATACTGAAGTACACAAAATACTGAAGTGCACAGAATACTGAAGTACACAGTATACTGAAGTACACAGAATACTGAAGTACACAAAATACTGAAGTGCACAGAATACTGAAGTACACAGAATACTGAAGTACACAGAATACTGAAGTGCACAGAATACTGAAGTACACAGAATACTGAAGTACACAGAATACTGAAGTGCAGCGAATATAGAAGTGGACAGAATACTGAATTGTACGGAATACTGAAGTGTGCGGAATACTGAAGTGGACAGAATACTGAATTGTACGGAATACTGTAGTGCATGGAATACTCAAGTGTACAGAACACTGTTGTATATGGAATACTGAGGTGTATGCAGTACTGAAATGTGAATAATACTGAAGCAAAAAAGTTTGAAAAAAAACCTTTATGGAATAATGACGTATGTAATAATGAATGAATATGTGCATGAAAATTTACAGCTCAAGCAGACTTCAACAAAAACAAAGAACCCTTTTCTTGATTTGTTTATCTCTTGAGGCCTATTTGGCTAATTTGTGGCTCTCAGTGTTCTCTTTTCTCTCAAACTTCTCTTTTGGCTCCAGCCTGTTCCCGAGGAGCTGCAGAATGGAGAAGAGTTTGGATACGTGGTTGCTTTTCGTCTGCTTAGTTCTCCAGTGTGGATCCAGAGCGTGGTACCCTCAGTGGACGCGTCCCGATACGTGTTTAAAAATGACAGCATCCCTCCGCTCTCCCGGTTTGAGGTGAAGGTGGGCGTGTACAACAGCATGGGAGAGGGACCCTTCAGCCCCGAGGTCATCGTCTACTCAGCAGAGGAAGGTTGAGGCAACTTTAATGTTGATTTTCTCTTGCCAAGACTTAATAATGAATATGATGAAGTAGATTAATGTCCAGTGAGGTCAACAGTGTCTGCAACATCCAACCAATGAGTGTTTATATCATATAGATCAGATACAGTGAATAGTTCAGCTCTTCTGTGATTGTAGCCTCTCACTGTCATTCATACAGCTCATGGATTCTTGTTACAGTGGAGGATCTCGAGGGAAACTGGAACTCTACCAAGCTGCTTTTGTTAGTTTGTTGCTTGTTGATTTATTCATAGTTCTCTGCGAGTGTCTGTCCAGCACGGTCTGCTGAAGGTGCTGAAAGGTGTCACTTTAAAAGACACTTCAAAGCTGTATTTGAACACTAAAGAGCACTAAAATCACTGATTCTGTCAGAGCAACACTGCGTGCTGCAGCTGGGCTTCAGCCTGCACTACTATGTTAAACTCAGCAAAAAAATAGAAATTGTGCATCATTTTTCATAAAAAAATGACATATTTAAAAATGTTCTCTGTATAGAACGTCTTAACTTATTTTCACTCACTCAAATTACAAACCTGTAATTTGCCCTGGGTGTTCAAAACTTCGCATACGACTGTATTGGTCTGTTTAAAAGGCACAGTAACAAAAACAGCCTGTTGAAATCTAAGGGATAAAGGGAGGTTGGAAAATGGTCATGTAAAAATGAATTATGACTGTTAATGATGCATAAAACCACTCTAATGTTGCAAGTGGACACCAGAAAAATAAAAACAAGAAAAATGTGCACCCTTTAAATTGATTTATTACATTTTAGTTTGTCAGAATTTTATTCAAGCAGAGAATTGTTGCTGTTATTGTTGTGCTCTTATAATCCCTTCCTATTTCTTTCTCCTCTCTGTCATTGTACCTTTCTCAGAGCCCTCTGTCGCTCCTGCCAGAGTGTGGGCACGCAGCCTGTCCGCCTCCGAGGTTCAGGTGTTCTGGGAGGCCGTCCCACCGAGCCTCAGCAAAGCGCGGATCACAGGATACGAGGTATACAGAGCAAACACAATAAGCGCAGAGCGTCTCTACAGACACAGAGAGGCAAAAAACAAAACAAAACAGCCCCACTTCACACTATATCGCCTCAATCATGCTCTGTAATGCATGTTCTAATGAAAAGTGCTGATGGCGAGGTGTGCAATTTCCTCCTCTGCAAACAAGAGGCTTGCCATTTTCTCCGCGACCCATTTTTCACGATCTAATCTGGAGGATGAAGAGGTCTGCGTGCAGCTGGGCCCGTCTCGCGGGGGGCGCCGGTGCCCAGGCCACCTCAGCGTGCGTATATAAATCTCCCTTCAGACGTCGTACATCAATCCGCCCTGCTCCTGCAAACGTCTCGGCTGTGAGCTCTTTCGTCAGCCGCTGTGAAACCTGCAGGATTTGGGCTCGTTCTCTCCTCCTCTCGGATCCAGATAACCCGGCCCCTCTGCTGTCAGAACGACTCTGCTGTTTACCTCCTTTTGGATGTAATAAGGACATAATGCTGTTTTTTAATGCTGAGTGGGTAAAAGGAGCCAGAACGAACCTTTCTTTTTCCTTTTCGTTAAAACTTTAGTTTAAGGAACACATATTGGGGGTTGTGTGAAAATGTCTAGTTGTAATAATGCACACCGAACACTTAATTCATATTTTTTAGTAAGTAAGTAAGAATTTATTTATAAACATTTTAACCCAAAGTGCTGCACAAGGAGAACACATTTAAAAAGACAATATAGGACAACATCTGATGTATAACAAAACAAAAATGCAGATCACTTTACAGAAACAAAGACTAATTGATAAAAATAGGTTTTTAATCTAGACTTAAAAGCATCAATAGAGGGTGCAGACCTAATGTCCAGGGGTAGACTGTTCCACAGCAAAGGTCTGGTCACCCTTGAGTTTCAGCCGAGACCGTGGCACAGTCAGTAGCAGCTGATTTGATGACCTCAAGGATGTGGAGGCAGGACAGAGTTGAGGCAAATCTCCTATATAGGACGGTGCCGCTCCGTTTAATGACTTAAAAACATATACAAGAATTTTAAATTGGATCCTATAGTATTCAGAAAGCCAGTGTAAGGATGCCAAAATGGGAGTATTGTGGTCCCTTTTTTCGTGCCTGTGAAAAGACGAGCTGTTGCATTTTGGACTAACTACAAACAAGCTGTTGAGGACTTACTGACACCCAAATACAAGCTGTTGCTTTAGTCTAAGCGAGATGTAATAAAAGCGTGGTAAAAAAACCTTTTCCAGGTCTCGGGGTGACAGGAATGCCTTAGTCCTGGCGGCTGATCTCAGTTGGTAAACAGAGCTCCTAAAAACAGAGTTAATTTGTTTATCAAACCTGAGGTCAGGATGAAATATAACCCCAAGGTTCTTAATCTGAGGCTTCACATGAGGCTTCACATTAGTGCACGATTGGCAACATTTTATTACCTATAGCAGAGTTTCTCAACTCTGGTCCAGGGGGCAGTGGGCTTCCAGGACCAGGACTGAGAAACATTGACCTACAGGTTTTAGGTAGTGCTAAGTAACTTCTGGGGTTTATTTTTTAGAGCTAATAAAGGTTTTAGCTGCCTAAACTTTAAGACATGCTCCATATTCTATAGTAGACTTTATTCTTCACTAATTGGAGGCTAAAAAGCGCTAAACAAGTTTTCAATAAGTCAGTTTGCAAGTAGCAAAGAACAACCATAAATGTTGGCAAATTACTTTTAAGGTAAGTCAAAGGAACTACACCAAAAGAAATTCTGGGCCGTTTCTTTTGGTCCATTCATCATAAAATTAACACACAATGTAAAGAGCAACAGGCATTTTCAAAACTATGTCAAGAGCTGAAAAACGACCAAAAAATGGAGATACAAGGTTTTGAAAAAACAGAAATATTTGAACTAAGCGGTGAAAACAGCCTGTTTTCAATTATTTTTCTGTGATGTCAAGAACCAGCACATTTACATATTACCACCTATTCAGCCTATAGTACTGTAGTTCCTCTCATTTACACTGAAGTTATAAAGGAGTGTTACATATCTAAATGCTTTTGAATGAGGCACAATACAAGACAGCCAGTCAAAACATAGGTCATTTACATATATCAGTCTTACAGCCTGTTTAATTCTAGTGAACAGAGGTTGGAAAATGGTCCTTAAAAATAATAATAGGCACTGTTGGTACATAAAAACATACAATCATTTAAGTGGACCTTATGGAAAAATAAAATACAATAAAAAGTAGGATATGGGCCTTTTAAGATGGAAGAGTTTTCAGTCTTGTTTTGTAGTCATAGTTGCATATTATTGAAATTATAATGTAAATTGCCTGAAAACATATATTGCATTTTTTGCCTGTAATTAACACCTTAAAATCCAGGCTTATTACATACTGTATGTAGTAAAAAGCAAAACTGTGCACCCACTGGTGAGTCCTGGCCATAAGTGTTTAAAATAGTCACTTGATGCTGTCTAGAACCTTCAGGACTAAAATGTTGCCCATCATACACAATAATGTTTGAATGTAGAAATGTTTGTTGTGTATTTTTACAACTAATAATGTAATTGTTACTGATTTTCACACAACATCCAATTATTTACTAACACAAGTCATAATAAATAAATCTTAATAAATAGAACTGTTTAATTTGGGCTTTAATGACCAAAGAATTAGACCTTAATAAAGCCTTAATATGTGTTCTTAAAATATAGTGTTACCTCCTTTTATAAACTGCCTCATATGTCCTTCTTATATGAGTTAGATTTATACGTCCAGACCTACATTAAGTGCTTTCCTCTTTCGATTATATATTTATATGATGTAAATCATCCAGAGGTGGGTAGTAATAGTTCCATTTTAAGTTTTGATGGACTGACACTTCATATTTTTTATTTTGTATTAAGTTTAGACTCTTTTACTCAGCAATATTTTAGTCCATCACATTCAATTTTCAAATATCTTTCTAGTTTTATTAACAAACTGGGGCACTGGAGAAGCAGTGATGTTGAATTTGGCTCCCAAGCTGGGCTGGACGTCTGACAGGACTGAGGTTCTAATTAAGGACTGCGTTCACTGATAAGCTTGGTTCAAGGTTCTTGTGGTTTTCATCCTAGTTATGTGGGGGTCACTGCGCTGCGGAGTTTTGCATTTTCTCTGTCCTAACGCAGCTGCTTCAGCTCACGAAGGGCTTGATAATTAGCTGATGAGGTGAAGCAGGTGTGTTCGCGCAGGGCTATAAACTGTGCAGTGAGTGTGCCGTCCCTCAGGACCAGCACTGGGAATCGCTGCTAAAGACTGGAAGAATGCCCTCTCCTTAAATTATTACTGTCCTCAGAGAATAGTGACCTTCCTGTGTTTGGCACTGTCCTCTGGCCATCCTGTGCAGCTGTGGGCTGTTAGAAAGCTGCCTTCAGGTTCTGTTTCTCAGTCACACTTTATTTTGAAGGTCTCCAATAGCTCATCCGATTGTTGACAGCATTAGAATCAGAATTAAGGCCTTTGCACACTGGATGTGGTTCATTCGTGCAGCGTATGCAGACGACAGAAAATGATCGATCACATGTATAACTGACAGTATCTTGCATACCAAACACAATTTTTCAGATGGTGAAAATGCAGCATTGTTTTATTGATGCTCTGTTCGATGTTCACAAACTCTCGCCAGTGACGAAATCTCACTGACCACAATCTCTGAAAGCAGCTCAAACTCAGAGTTTCGGCTTCTGAATGAAGGAGCTCGTCACGCTAGTTTCCCTTTTCCAAAATGGACAGTAGCCCAGTGTCACCGTTTGTCTGTTCTGCTGGGAGCAAAGAATCAGATCTTATTTGCACTTAAAGACGTTCAGCTTGTTTGTTTTGTGCTTCATGTAATGTGGAGCTGCATCTCCAGAATCAGCTCAAACTCGGCTGAGATCCCAGCTGCGAAGGAAAACAATTACTTGTGAAACACTCGTAAAATTGAGCTCCTGAATGAGGTGGAGAAACTGTTGATTCTCTTTTCACTTTCCTACGTTTTACACAGTTTTCCAGGTTCGTGAGGAGCAAAGGCCTTTTTTGATAAATATTCTCCCCGTATTTTTTTCTCATTGTGAACAATTTGGCAATATGTATATATTTGCCAATATACATATACACACACATGCATGCATACATACATACATCATCTGGATGAATGGACAAATTTCCTCTCCAAAATCTTGTAGAAAGCTATATATATATATATAGATAGATAGATAGATGGATAGATATAGATATATATATAGATATATATGTGTGTGTGTGTGTAAAGTCAAGGCAAATTTATTTATGTTGCACCTGTAATACACTGTTGTCATTCGAACCGCTTTACAAATGAAAAAATACAGAGTAACATTAAAGTTAAATGAGAGTAGAAATTAAAAACATGATTCAAACTATAGATTAATAGATATAAACAGATTTAAAAGAATATAATTAAAATCAATATAATTTTAGTGCATTTTTTAACACATTGGAAACAAATTAGTGTTAAAATGTGCCATAACTTCACTTCTACAGGACACATTTTACATTTTATTGTACCCCATTATGTTAAACTCAAAACAACAAAATATAAAATCAACCAGTTTGACCAGGTGCACCCAAACTTTTGCATTTGACTGTATCATCATGACAGACTACAAACATTCAAAATGTGATCTTAGATAAAATTAATAGATGATAGACTGTTAAAGACTGTTTGCACACCGAATGTGGCAGAGGTTAAGGTTGTGTCCGTTTAGGCTTAAGGAAAAGTGAATGTAGATTTAGTAGGTATTTATTGTAGGAAGTTATGTTAATTCAAATGGGACATTTTCTTACACAAGGTAGGTCAGTGTGCTTTAGGTAGAAGATTAAAATTTAAATAGAAACTTGATTTAAAAGATCAAAATAAAGTTCAGTTAAAATACAATGTAAATTTACTGGAGACGAAGCAACGAACAGAGTAAACGGAATTGAGAATAAATGATGAAGTGCTAGAAAGATGCAAAGTGCAGCAGCTGAAGGAGGTGAAGAGAAATCTGTTTTCGGGCTGCCTGTGCACGTCTGACAGCTTCTGGAAGTTTGTTGTAGCTGATTGCAGCGTAGCAGCTGAAGGCTGCCTCACTATGTTCAGTTCTGGTTGTAGATGTTGTTAGCTGACCCGACTCTGTGATCTGAGATGTCTAGTAAGGTGGTGTTTTTCCAGCATGTCAACAATATCTGCAGGTCCTAGTCTATTTAGAGATTTGTAGACACGTTGAGGTACTTCGAGAGCTGTTCTCGAGGCAGTGTGAGGCTGAATGTATGTTAACATCAACAGGAGCATCTACAGTGGCCCATCTATAAAATACTGACTATTAAATAGAAAAACTTCTTTAGGCCAACTTCATAAAACTGGGCAGTAACAGCGCCTATTTATAAAGTTACCATAGCGGTGATTAGCAAACTGGTGTCTTTTAATGCTGCAGTATTTTCTCCAATGTCCTGGGCAAGAGCCAATCAAAATCCACATGTAAATGAGGTGATGCATATTAAAGACCCACAACAAGTGAAGCTCTGTTTGGCTACCAACAAAGAAACAAAGTAAACCAAAAATTTCAGAAACAGAGCTACAAATTTAAGGGAGAAATGCTTGTAAATTGTTTGGTAAAGATGTTTTTAACTTTTAGTCAAGGAAGAAAAGTTTGTTAATCAGAAAGTGTTATTGATACTCAAAAGAAATGGAAAAAATCCAATTAAAACATCTTAAAAATCAACTTTTAATAGTAGGAATTATATTTTGGCATGTAAGATTTAATTTCTCATCAGTAAGAATTCAAGCCTTTTTCCAGTTCATCATAACTGAGATAATAACATCAATTAAAGTTTAACACAGGGGAAATTTTGTCAGGAATTCAATTTACACATGTAGTCAGCATTAATTTTGACTGGTAAAACTGTCATTTTCGCATGTTTAAACTAAATTCCTTTGTAAAATTCATTGTAAATTGAAGAACAGTACCCAAAGTTAAAACTGCTTAGAATAAAATGAATTTCAAATGTAATTAGAGTCTCAGCATGTCAAATTACACTTCACTGATTTGGATTACTTCCTGCTGTCCGCACACAGGAGGGGGATTCACCAACATAGAATCTGACGCAGGAGGAAGAGGCCGGTTTAAATATAGTGCTTGTTAAATCTGCCAATCTGAAAACCTGCTCCAGCAAGTCTTCAGCAGTTAGAACAGGGCTGCCCAGTCCTGGTCCTGAAGGTCTACCACACTGGAGAGGTCAGATCTAACTTATTCAGTTCTATTATTCAGATACATCCGAAGGCCGTAATTACCTGGATCAGTTTTTGATTTGGATTGAAGCTAAACTCTGCAGGATGGTAGATCTCCAGGACCAGTATTGGGCAACCCTGAGTTAGAGGGTTTACTGGGAAAATGACCACCAGAGTGGTTCAGGCTTTATTTTGTGTGTGGTATGAATCACTACCAGCACATGTAAATGAAAAAAAGCTCACCAGTAATCTTCATTGTTAGCACCACACTATGTGCTCCTGGTAATTCTGGCGGTGCGTTTTACGAATGTGGCCCCCTTTGTTTTGGTGCTGTAGGTGCAGTGGTGGGAGGAGGGATCTCCGATGAGCGACGCGAGGAAGGAAAAGGTCGCAGGCAGCCCGGCTCGCATCACTGGCCTGAAGGGCAGCACGGTCTACCTGGTCTCAGTCAGAGCCACCAACAGCGGCGGAGTCGGCCCGGCCAGCGTCCCTGTAAACATCACAACCAAGAAACCCCGTGAGTCTTTTCAGAGGCTGCTTTTTAAAGACGCTGCTGTTCTTTAGCCTCTCGAGGCAGAGATGCTGAAATGATTAAAGGGCGCCACGACTCATTAACATACTGTAACTGTCCTTGATAAATTTGCTGCAAAGGCAGACAAATGCGGCGGCATTCATTCATTTTTACTGCCTGCCGCCTTCTTCTGCAGCACTCATGATAAATCTGCTTCTCGAGGCTTTGTTTGTATTAATATCTGCGTCTCATTTGTTGAACGAACCTCCTCATAGCAGCTGGCATTTGTTGTACTGAAGATTATTCAAGGCTATATTTGACGCAGCTAATTGTTTCAGTGCTTTTAAAGCCTAATTAGCCCATCAATGTCGAGAAACAGCAGATAAAGAGAGCCACCAGTGAAAGTACTGGATTCCAGCACCGCAGTGCAGAAAAAAAACAAGGAGTAATCAATGGAATGATTAGATTGAGCGGTGCTCTTCCATCTCAGCATGAGAGACCCTCCGTTAAAGCCCCCCAGCTTAAATAGTCCGATTAGCTCATGCCAATAAACCAAAAGAACAAAACAGCATATTTAAACAGAGCCAGGGAGTGATCAGATAAACTATGACATCTCAATGGAAAGGAGTCAGAGAGCTAATTTGGGCTAATAGACTGAGCGGGCAATTAAAGGCGGTTTCAAATGAAGCGCTCCCAGTTTTACTCTCTGTCTCAGCGCAGCTTAGTAATTGGTCTGATTCTTTTGTGCATTGCATTATCAGGCCCGAAAATACGGCGATAGCGCAGGGCCGCTGATACAATCCACCCAAATTCTCATAACAGCAAATATTAGAGGCTGAGTGGGCTTGGAGTCATTAGTAAAAATGGCTCAGAATCACAGAGGCACTCATCTTTGGTCCTACTCGACTGTGAAGAGGGAGTGAGCGCACTCCAAAGCACTGGGGGTGAAATAACGAAATCAGAAATCCAACTTTTCTCAGCCCTTTTTGTTTAATTTAGAGCAGAGGGTTTTGAATGCAGCGCCACGTTACTTCCACACTAGACATAACGATCCAGGCAAGCGCAACAGTATCTTCTGTTTCGAGGGGATTGCATCGCCTGAACTCATGGCAAGGACTGCAAAAGTGGGTTAGATGAATTATAAACAATTACTGTGAAGTCGATACTCTGTAATTGCGTAGTGATGAAACGAATTCATGTGCAGGAGATGTTCTCCTGTGCTAGAACGTTAGGAGCACCAACCAGTCATTCAGACAGAGACCAAAGGAGATGACTGATATGAGCTGCTGCAGTCTGTGAAAGTTCTAGGCCATTTTTTGGCACATTTATGGCAATAGCTGCTAAAAACTTTGCATGATATTTACATTATAAGCTAAAACCACAGCCCTGTTCACACCGGGCTTCACCATTCATCCTGTGTGATTTGATCATGAGAGGATCTCACGTTTTAAACTTGCACATTTAAGTTGCTGAGAGCCCACAAAAAAGTGCCATACGTCACCCACAGCTGACCAGTCAATATCGCGGATGCCTTCTCTCTATTCAGTCACAGCTCCGATGCAAAGGAAAACAAGTTTTGACTGTTTTTAAACACAATTGATTCACTGTAAAAATGAGAAGCCTGCTCAACTTATAGTGTATATACATATATAGTAAATACAGTAACTGATTTCATGGCTTTTCTTGAGTTGACTCAACTTGAGGACCCCAGAGTTCACCCAACTCAGACTTCTTAGTGTGTTATGTAATGGTGTCCAGCCAACTCTCTTTCTAGCAGCTAAAGTGTGTTAACTCAGTTATTACAGACAGCCTGCCTCAGCTCGGGTTTTCTGTTTCTGCCGAGTGTCCATAGAAAGATTTCAGTCTGGATTTGAGGCTGTTCAGAAGTCCAAACTTTAGATCTTTTTTGGTATCTTCTGGTTTGAAGTGTTTAGAACACACGCAATCGTTTATTTATAGCAGCGGCAACTTTTTAACTGCAATCTCTTTGAAGAAAACAAACAGTGTTTACCCAAGAGGAAGAATGTCTAGCAGGATTGTGTGATGGAGAGAGTCCTGGCTGGTGGGGAAGATGAGTATAAAAACAAGTTCATTTTATTTCCCTCACTGAGATGCAGAACTAAAACATTAACAGAACTTTTGACTCAAATAAGAAGTTTGAGTGGTGTGAACTCTGATGTCCTCAAGTTGAGTCAACTCAAGAAAAGCTATGTAATCGGTTACTAGATCAGTTTGAGTTGAGCTGACCTCTCATTTTTAACAGTGTTGCATTCTGGCTTTTTTCTTGTTTGTTACAGAAATATTACCTATGTTTTCTGTGTATTATTATACATGCCATTCTACTGAATTAGTTCAAACTAATTCTCTCAAAGTAAAATAAAAATAATAATAATAATAATAATACAAATCAGATCTTAGATATTCAAAGGATTGTGTCATGATCCATTTAAACCAAAGGCATTAATAGCAATGAGCTAAATATATACAAAAACACACCTCAAAATCAACACAAAAATGGTTCACTGACCACAGAATGAAGGTTTTTCCATGGCCACCCTATTCCCATGACCTAAACCCTGTAGAAAACCTGTGGAATGAGCTGAAGAGGAGAGTCCACAAGCATGGACCTCGGAATGTGAAGGATCTGGAGAGGATCTGAATGGAGGAATGGTATCAGATCCTTTGCCATGGGTTCTTCAGTCTCATTAAGCATTATAGGAGAAAAAGCTGTTATTTTTGCAATGGGAGGCTGCAAAAAGTATTAAATGAAGAGGTGCCAACAGTTGTGGCACATGTATACATATTTCATGATGAGGTTGGATTTTCCTTTTAATCTATACTTGAAATAAAGGTTAGATTTTAATGAATTTTCAAAAGGATAAGCAATAAATGATGCTTTTAACAGTCTGTTTTGCTTATGTTTATAAGGGTTTCCAATATTTGTGGAGCTAACAGCTGAATTGAGATAAATTTTATTTAATGTTGTCCAGCCAGGCGGCACGGTGGCGCAGTGGGTAGCGCTGTCGCCTCACAGCAAGAATGGCCTGGGTTCGATTCCCAGCCGGGCGACCAGGGTCATTTCTGTGTGGAGTTTGCCTGTTCTCCCCGTGTCTGCGTGGGTTTCCTCCGGGTACTCCGGTTTCCTCCCACAGTCCAAAGACATGCAGTCAGGCTGATTGGACACGCTAAATTGCCCCTAGGTGTGAGTGAGTGTGTGAGTGAATGTGTATGTCTGTCTGTCTGCCCTGCGATGGACTGGCGACCTGTCCAGGGTGTATCCTGCCTTCTGCCCAATGACAGCTGGGATAGGCTCCAGCACCCCACCGCGACCCAGAAGGGTAAGCGGTTTAGATGATGTATGTATGTCCAGCCAGCTAAAGTGTGTTAATTCAGTTATTACAGACAGCCTGCCTCAGCTCGGGTTTTCTGTTTCTGCCGAGTGTCCATAGAAAGATTTCAGTCTGGATTTGAGGCTGTTCACAAGTCCAAACTTTAGATCTTTTTTGGTATCTTCTGGTTTGAAGTGTTTATAGCAGCGGCAACTTTTTAACTGCAATCTCTTTGTGTTTCAGTGGTTTGAGATAAAGCCTTGTTCATGTGCTCCATTCAACAGCACAGGTTGGCATATTGGGTCACTCGAATAAAACATTTTGAATTTTACAGAAATTGAAGATCTCGATGAAGTTGCAAAGCTAATCTGACCCATGGTAGATGAGGCTGTGTGGCTATGTTGTGCAGTGCTGATGTAGCTACACCCCCACCAGCTGCAACTGTCCAAATGAACTCTGGGAGATGTTGGAATGGAGCTTTATAGGCTCTTGAATAAAACAGCTAGATATCTTAAGAAGTACCCTGCAAAATGTTGTGTATTTCTCAGTGCTTATTCAGGCTGGTCTCCTTTAATGTTCTGATAGATATTCCTCGTTAAAAGTGAATATTGAATTTAATTGATCTGTCAAAAATGTTTGCACTGATGCTTGAGTACTCACTTCACTTAAGTTTTCAGTGGTTCTCCAGGATCATTCTGAGTTTTAGGTAGTAAATCTGGTCATTATTACTGGTTGTTATGACTTTTCTGATCAATATGGATGAATAAATGATAACTTTGAGCTTGTATTGTATTCAAAGAGTGTGACAAGACTACTTTTGAGCACCGTATATCAGCCTTTTTTTAAAAACGATGCATAAGTTTATAATGTTGTTATTCAATTACGTTGAATAAATAGATTAATTCAGAAATTGCCTGAATTCAAACTGAATTCCACAATGTTTATTTTCCAGCTCCTAGCCAGCCTCCGGGGAACATTGAGTGGAACCTGACAAACTCAAAGATCTTTTTGAATTGGGAGCATGTAAAGGCCATGGAAAATGAGTCTGAAGTCACAGGCTACAAGGTGAGCTGTTAATTCTTTACTGCTTGGAACGCAATGAGACACCAAAAGTGTGAATCAATTAGAAAGCAGCATCTCTGAAATCGCACACATTCTTCTCTTTCATCTTATCAGTATTAATCTTCACTATTTTTGGTCTTCCATTACATGGATAATGTATTCCATGTATGTCCTTGTATTCTGCACAAACATCTTGCATGCATACATCAAATATGGGTTCACATTGTTGTCAAAGGAAGCTTTCTCTTGCAGAATTCTTTTGAAGATCTGATGAATCACAGTACTGCAGTTCTCTCTTCGCTCCTGCATTAGTAATATATGCAGTCATGTTCCCCTATATTAGCTTTTTATTGCACTAACAGTATCAAAACGAACCTGGAGCTGGAACACCACATTTTACAGAGGGGTGAGGTCATTGATTCAGGCCAAAAATGTCAAAACGAGGAAGAAACTCACCACCAAAATAATGCTGATTTGTATTAGCACCCCTATATGATGTCTAGTAGCATGCTAGCACTAAGCTAATGCTTGTGCACATTAACTTTTTTAGACATTTTAAATTAAACAAGGACATCTGAAGCTTGAGAAAAAAAAATCTTGAAACTTATAACAGACATTAACAAAACAGTGGCTTTCAGTAAAGGGTCCTGGCATAAAACTGCCGCCACTGTTTTCCTTTTCTAACAACTCTATTACATTATGTACTTCTTTGATCCTGCAAGGAAATTTGTCAATTCGCTGCAGCACCGAGTACCTTGACTAATGGCATAACCAGGTTTACTCAGTCAGTCTTTGGATTTGAACCTGCAACCTTTCGGTTTCTGAGCAGACTAGGTTACCAGCATGACTGACTAAAACCTACTTAGACTACGACTTCTACTCACAATGAGTGATGTATCTAGAACTTCCACAAGGCTTAGACTGACAGATAAAATAAGATTCCTTTATTGTTATTGCACAGAAAACAACGAAACTGAGCAGCAATCCTGGCAGTGCAATAACACAAGAAATCAACTAGGAGTACAAAATAAAAGCTAATATAAAATGCAAGGAGAAGTTAAAGGCTGTATAATTTAAAATGACAAAAAAGTAAAGTAAAAAGGGTGAATATAAAAGAATGTAGCAGCTGTGAAATTGCACATGAAGATATTGCACATTTATGAATAGTGGTGGTTATATTTACACATAGTGCATTTGAGTATATAAATATAAAGGTGCCAGTGAATGTGAATGTCTTTATAGTATTCTTGTAGGTATATTGGGATTGGTACCGATAGACGCTCAGTTCCTGCTCTGTCAGTGCCTGGGTGGCAGTGTGCAATGTCAAGTGTTGGGCAGTGTTCGTCTGTGATGTGATGGACCTATAGCGCCTACCTGAGGGTAGCAGGTCAAACAGATGTCCAGGATGGTTCTTGATGTTCTTTCTCAAAAAAAAATGCTCCCATCCATTGTTAATCAGATCGCAATTTGTTGATTCCTCTGTAACTTCCTGATATGTTGGTAGTTAATCTAACATGCAAGTCTATCAGTAGAGCAAACCATATGTTTTAAAGGAAAATACTGCAAAGGCAACATACCAAATGTTGAAACTGAGAAATTTGAGTTTTTTTATATAAGTATGCCCATTTTGAATTTGATACCAACACCACGTTCCAAAAAAGTTGGGACGGGGGCCTGTTTACCACTGTGTTTCATCACCTCTTCTTTTAACAACACTCTGTAAGGGTTTGAGAACTGAGGAGACACTGCTGTAGTTTAGAAAGTGAAATGTTTTCCTGTTCTTGTTTGATACAGAATTTCAGCTGCTCAACAGTTCAGGGGCTCCTTTGTCATATTTTTCATTTCATAATATGCAAAATGTTATCAGTGGGTGACACATCTGGACTGCAGGCAGGTCAATTCAGCACCCGGACTCTTTTAATACAGAGCATTGCTGTTGTAATACATGCAGAATGTGGTTTGACATTGTCTTGCTGAAATGATCAAGGCCTTCCCTGAAAAAGACGTCGTCTGGATGGCAGCATATGTTGCCAAAACATGTATATATCATTCAGCATTAATGGTGCCTTCACAGATGTGCACGTCACCCATGCCATGTGCACTAATGCACCCCTATACCATCATGAATACTGGCTTTTGAACTGTGCACTGATAACAAGCTGAGTGGTTTTTAGCCCGGAGGACACAGTGTCCATGATTTTCGAATTCGGACCACAGGACACTTTTCTACTTTGCTTCAGTCCATTTTAAATGAGCTCGGGCCCAGAGAAGGTGGCGGTGTTTCTGGATCCTGTTTGTATTTGCTTTCTTCTTTGCATTTTAGAGTTTTAACTTACATTTGTGGATGCAGTGATGAACTGTTTTCACAGACAGTGTTTTTCAGAAGTGTTTCTGAGCCCATGCAGTGATTTCCACCACAGAATCATGTCTGTTTTTAATGCAGTGCTGCCTGAGGGCCCAAAGATCGCGGCCAGCAAATACGGGTTTTTGGCCTTGTCCCTTACATACAGAGATTCCTCCAGATTCTTTGAATCTTTTAATGTTATTATGTACAGTAGATGATGAAAAGCAAAAGTTCTTTGCTATTTTACATTAAGAAGTGTTATTCTTGAATTGTTGCACTATTTGCTCATGCAGTCTTTCACAGAGTGGTGAACCCCTCCTCATCTTTACTTCTGAAAGTAAATTTCTCAGTTTCAACATTTGATTTGTTGTCTTTGTACTATTTTCAATTAAATATAGGGGTTAAATGATTTGCACGTCATTGCATTTTGCTTTTATTTACATTTTGCACAGCGTCCCAACTTTTTTGGAAATGAGGTTGTATAATTTAGTGTCATTGTGTGCTGCTAACAAGTTATTGATGAGTAACAGCCCTGCTCCCATGTTTTTTTGGTGCTTTTTGTGTATAATTTGCTTTGTGTTGACTTTGCTAGCCTGAATGCTCACTCCAGTGTTTGCTAATCAGGCTGTTTGGACGGTGTCGGCCGGGGCAGAGCCAGTTGGCTTTCGTTTCCAGAGCCAAAGAGCCAGCGGGGGCCACCCTGGTCCTCTTGACCAACTCAAAGCTTTGACCAAAATGAGTCATAGCTACAATTCGAGCTGCGGTATTAGTTCAGCTCAAAGCTCCTGCTTAAGCTCTCTGATACGTTTGCTGGCCTTGGTTAAATACAATGTGCTCACGCACATTTGGAGGAATAATAAATGCAAACTTGAGAAACAAGTGTGGAAACACAGTTATCCTGCTTAATCCTGGTCTTCAGGGTTAAAATGCTTTTTCCCAAAGTTGTAAATTCCTTAGATTAGCCCAGGCGTTCACTTTTGCGTTTAATCCCTTTGTGTTGGTTTGCTTTATTTGCTGTTATAAAGCACGTGCTGGGGAGTGAGTCTCCTCGCCCCGAGTCATGAGCACAGCTCATGCCAGTCTCGACCCTTTTTTACATTTCAGAGAAAGCCGTTCAGAGCAGTAGCTCGCTGTTTTCAAAAGCACGCTTTAGTCATCACCACGTCCAAACCAGCACGTACACTAGCTGAGAGAATGAAAAAAAAAGGAATACAGTTCTGTTTTTTTTTTCCTGTTGAACGCATTAATTTGGTGCTGGCTAATTGAGGATGACCTCACTCGGCTGTGGGTTCTTCGTGGTGGTTGAGAACAGCTGGAAAGCTGTGATGTTATCCTGAGTTTGGAGCTTTTGGCTTTTCCAGAGCCTCTCAGGGGAGCGAAACATCGCCTCCCAACCTTCATTTGCAGTTCAGCCTGCTCTCAGCGCACAACCTGTATAATGCAATCAATAACTATAAATTGTCTAGCCTACACAGGCAAGAAAGAATATGAGAATGCCAGCTATTTGTTTTAGTCTGTCAATCTAAAGAAGAATTATAAATGATTTATGGATTAAGTGGTGTTTTTTTCCTAAGTGCACAGTGCATTGCTCAGCATACTAATCACCCATTCAGCGCACTGAGAATCCACTTTAAATTGCTGTTATTTTTTCATGTTCAATTATATTCATACAGTGCATTTTACAATAGAAACACTCACAAAGCAGCTTCATGATTGAGCCATCACTGTGCTTAATTTCTCTCATCCTGCTGAAGTTGTGATCGGATGTTTAACTAGTTAACCCTTAAAGGTCCAGTGTCCCTTTCCTTTTTTCATTAATATTTCAAATGCATAATTACATAAGTAATTACTAGGTCTGTCAAACAATTACAATGACGAATCATGAGTAATTGCATCGTTCTAATCAGTTAATCAGGATTAATATCATTTTTCGAATTTGCTCTAAGGAAAGTTTTTTCTTTCCATTTAAAAGCAGTTTTTTTTAGAGCTCTATGAATCAGAAAGTGTCAGTAACGTCATCATATTTTCACGAGTGTGAACGCAGAACCTGAGCATACAAAAATCACATGATTTATACAGAGTGAACACAGTTTCCCATTTTCAAGAAGAAGAGAATTAATTGTGATTTGAATTTGACAGTTAATTATAGTGCAATCCTCTTTGCCGAAAAAAAAATGTACTTACATTTTGCTATGTTTTTGTCACTGCTTGACATCAAAACAAACGGAAAAACATCACATACAGATAAGAATACGGTTGCAAGTACAAAGTAGAAGCTGATGTCTAAACTGAAGTTAGCAAATCACAACACTGATGCGGCAAAATCAGTAACTTACCAGACTACACTGGACAGTGCAGCAGGAGAGCTATGGATAAATCAACAAGCAGCAAACTAACAAAAGCAACAGCAAAAGGGAGCTCCATTTCCCCTCGAGAGCCTCCACTGTAGCAAGGCTCCAATGTCACTGATGTCCAGTGAGAGCAACAGTGTCTGTATGTTCCGACCAATGAGTGTATCATACAGTCGTATGCAAAAGTTTGGGCACCCCTGGTGAAATCCTCTACAGAGAACACAGTTCTGCACATTTTAGTGCACAATTATTATTATTATTATTTTTTTTTTTTGCTGAATGTAACAGATTGCAGAAAAAAATCTGCA